ATTTCGCGTTCTATATTTCTGTACGCTGCACGGGCGCAGTTTCGTTTAAAAAAAAAAGAGGAAAAAAAGAATTTGCTGCGTACGAGCTGACGGAATAAAGCGCACGTGTCCTCGGCCGACCGTTTGTAACATGATAACGCGTGTTCTAATGAAATATAAAACGCTGACGATCCGCACATTTTCGCTTGATCCAGCAAGGGTCGAGGTCAGCGGCGAAGATTGGTCACCGCGAAAGCGGATCGTCATAGAGAAAAGAGAAAAGAAGCCTAAAAGGTGGCGGGCATGTACCTCGGGCACATACGCCGACGTGCCTCGAAATAAATGCCTCCGAGCTGTGGCTTTATATAGCGGATAAATGTTCCCGAGTATATTCCAGGACGTCACGAGGACAAGAATGGTCTCTGACCGCTCTGACACGATTTCGCACGGTCTCAAAAATACTCGCAAGACGTACGAGTGTTCTCGTATCCCTGAATATTAGCTCGACCGTGCCGCTAAATTCGTACACGATCGCGTTGCCCCGCATACTCTCTCGGGCGAATCAAATACCATGTATATCGCGCGATTCGTCCTCAAATACCCCACCGTTAAAAATGGAAATTGCGAAAAACCCGAGGGAGACAAGTTCCCTTTGAACTGTCATCCCGGATAAGCCTGACGGAGTGTCACGGGAAATTCTCGACACTCCGTGAATATATTCAAGACTTCTATAGATTTTCTTCACGTTCCCCATCCAAGATATCATTGTATTGTGTACGTTCAGATTTTAATTACAAACCTTACAAGGCTTTCAACGTTTATACGTATCAACTCTTGACACGTGTTTGTGCTTACACGAAATCTAGAAGCGAATCTCGACAATCATCCCAAACCCGTCATCATCCACAGTCGTTGTGGAAGAAAAAAAAAGAAATATCGACCGCGGGACACACGTGGGTACTGATACGATGCATCTTAAAATATCTTTTTGCAGAAACCGAAACGGACAAAGCGCCCTCGTCGCCGACGCGCAGGAAACTGCCAAAGACGCCGGTATAACGAGTTCATAAATTGACACTTACACACATGACCGTCTCTCTCTGTCTCTCTTTCTCTCATTCCTAACACGATGTACACGATGCATACGCAGACTCGGGGATAAGCACGCTTAGAGACCGCGGATAAGAGCGGATAGGAGAGAAAAAAAGGAGAAGAACAAAAGGAAAAGAAAGAGAAACGCGCAGGGGAGCAGCCGTACGAGAAGGAAATGAAACGGCGTCCTCTCGCCCGTTCTCTTTGCTTTTGTACATAGTATATTACATGTATAATTCACCATAGCCGCGCGTATATATATATATATATATATATATATATATATATATATATATATATATATATGTATATATATATACATATATATATACATATACGAATACATATATATATACATATACGAATTGATTGTGCACACATTGTAAACACGACGGATGTGCAGGCGTGACGTGTGTGACGTGTGAAAACGAGTGCGTGAGATCGCGGTTTTTAGCGTCAATGTGCAAATCAGATAAAGTGAGCGAGCTACATGTGCCAAAGCGTGTCGCGCGAATGTCACGCACGCGGCTTGCAAAGAAGAACTTTCGCGATCGGAACGCCCTGCCTCCCTTCCCTCCCCCCCGCCCCCCTCCCCCGGGGACGTCATGCACAATTTTGATCCGACCAGAAAGAAGGGCATTTCGCGAAAGAGTATTCCGCGGACCGAAGACTGATTCACGTCTCCGACGTTTTATCCGATCGTTCGTTCTCTCGCCATTCGGATTCCTCGCAGCTGTCATCTCCTCTTTAGAATAACGCACGAGATATACTCGTTATATATACACTTTCATAGCTGTCTCTATACAAACGTCTGTATGTGAATCGCTCTTGTAAAATCGTCCGATCGGTCGCGACTTCATCGTGACATTTACTTCGCTGCGCGAACTCCCGCGCGAATCGAGCAAACGTTAGTCTCGGGGTTGACCGCATACCTCGTTCTGCTGATTAACGCGAGTTAAACCAATCTCCCATTTACATCCGAAAGTTTCGCTCGTGCCAACATTTCGTTTTTCACTCACCCCCTGCGGCTCGTCGATTACGGCTGAGCAGCCGCCCCCGAAAATTCAGCCCTCAGACTCAAAAAGCCTCACCGCCCGGCGATCTTATCCGAGCTTAATTGGCAGTGCTTAAAAAGAGCTGACAAAAGTCGAGAGTACTCCGATAAGGCATTATTCTCGGCGCGCGAGGACCACTTTTACTCGCGTTTTCGCCCCGGATCGCGCGCGATTCAGCCATTTTAGGCACGACGCGGCACAATTAAATCGCGCATTTTCACTGATCGCGAGCGGGAGCAGCTGTAAATACATCAAATATAACACGTCGATGTAAAGAGCCGATGGACGACGAATTTCTCGCCCCGGAGAGATCGATAAGCATATCGTGTTCGCGTTGTCACGATCGCTTCGGCTAGAAATCGTAAAAATCGCATCGATGGCGAAAGACACGTCTGTAGAGGAGCAGAGATAACGAGGATTAACCAGAAGTTTTACTCTCTAGGGTGTTTATCGAGAATTAGATAACTTTAGGAGGATACGAGAGATCGCGAGGGAAAATCCAGCTCGGGTCGATTCGTGATGTCTAGCAAAGATAGTTTTCGGTTTGTAGCCCCAATTTATGCTCGTACAACTTTAATACTCGTGGCGAGCGAATTTTCCTCCTTGTCCCCGCGATTACGTGAGGGAATAGTAAGAGCTATCGTAGTTTTCTAAATTTTAGAAGAAATAACGGGGTCTTCCATCGCCTTTAGTAAGATATTAGTTGAAGGAAAAAAAGAATTTCGCGATTCGCGACTAGTTGTACCGAAATTATATCGACCTCCTAAATCATACCTTATCAATTTCTTCATTATTTTTAGACTTTCTCAAGCAAGAGTTTGGATGCGTTTGATTTTTCATCGAGAATAGCGTCTGCGTTTGCTTCACCTATCACGAATGCCTATTCGGTTAAACTCGAGTTAATCTCTGAAAGTTATTCCTTCTTACATATTTATCTCGAATATTATTAACAAAAATAGATCCTGTAATTTCCAAGAAATTAATTTTTTTTTCATCTTTATCTCCCATCGTAAAATAGCGATTTCTCCTACAGAAGACTGTCTAGAGTTTCGTGGAACAAAACTTTCTCTTTTTATGATGATCCTCAGATCCGCCGATCAGACAAAAAATTAGACTAATCAGCAAAAAGTCGAAGATTTCCAGACACTTAGAGAGAATTCACACATCAGCAAAAAATAGAAGAGCAAGAGTCAATTAGAACTAGACAAGCAGAAACTGTCGACTACCACCTAACTACCAGCGTGAGTTCTAATTGACTTCTGCTTTCCTGCTTTTCTGCCAAGGTGTGGATTTTTCCTTACTTGAGAAACTCTAATTATTATCGAATACGAATGACATCTAACGGTAAAAGTGAGAAATAAATAAGCAATAAGAAATACAAAGAAAAAATTTCACATTCCATCTTATTTTGAACAAATATTTAAGAAAAAAATCAGATACGACTAGGCACGATTTAGAAGATCGGTACGATCGCGGCAACTCTTCCCAATATACGACAGCTTTGTAAATTTGCATCAGTTATGTTGCATCGATCACTCGGAGTGATTTCGAAAGATGCCAGAGGCGAGTGACCAACCGTCCCAAAGATATTTTATTCCCGTCATCGTGCGGTTTCACGAGCTCGATATTCGGCGATCAGGATTTCCTCATCGGGAAACGTTCCTTTTGCTCTTTCACGGGAATAGCACGGAAAAGAATGGCTTCGCGAGAATACCCGCTGGTTCGCGTATCATTGGCCGCCTACCCGTGCGCGCTTGCGTCACGCATCAGGATTTATAGCTAATTGCTTTTATTTTGCTCGCCCGCATTGTGCCATGTTCATTTATCCTCGCCGTGCGATTTCGGCCAGAATATAAGATTTCAGTGCAGAATATACTCCGATGAGTACCTTATCGAGCGCGAGAAGGCTCACACAGCAAAGGCGAGCGAAGTCGTTAAAAGACAGGACTCTCTTCCATCGCTTGTTCAGTAATCGTAAAATTTTCTCAGTCTACTCGTCGGACGGGCTCCAAGGGTGAGACTGTACCGCAGTTGGTTAAAACGAAACGACGTTCGCGATTTGCGGACTCAGCCAGTGCCGCGAATGTCCGATAGCAGGCTGACCGAGTGTCCCGATGCTTCACGTGACGTACGGTGCCATTGGTATGCGCGGCTATCTTCCAATCGATAGTAGCGGTCCCAGTTGGCCGAGTACGCGGAAGAAAAATACGCTGGAGATATTTTCAGAAAAATACGCCGTGTGAATATCGTAATTATCGAGTCACATTCGCGCGTTGAATATTCGTTCTCGCGTTTCAAGTTCTCCTCGGGTGCACTCGCGAGACACTCGCGCGGACTTTACTGCGAATTATTTGCGATTCCCGCGTATCGCTGAAGACTAACGTTCATCGCGTTGTACGATATTACGAGACGTTTGTACAAAGATTAAGAACACCTTTTTTGTAAAAACGCGTATCTCATATATATATATATATATATATATATATATATATATATATATACGGAGAGATAATTGTGAAATAGAAAAATATACGAAAGCAAATGGGATATCGATGTTGATCTATATATTTACTAACACTTATCCAGTCTTACGTTGATTGCCATTGGTAAGTACACTAAGAGAAAAGAATTTAAAAAATTAATAAATATTTATTCGGCGAGTACTAATATAATTAAAATAACAAATATTTACTTGCAAATTTTTTTATCTTAATGCAATTCTTTTAATTAAATGCAAATTCTTTTATTTTAATGAAATAAACAATTGCTTTCATGAAGCTAAGGTACTTATATTAAGGATTTAGGAAAATATATATTTTCTAATTTTTGTGAAAAATATTTTATGTTAGTGTAAGTAAATGTTACTAGTACCACCGAAAAAATATTGGTTATTTCTTAGATACTTTCTCTCTTAGTGTGCTTGAAGTCGAAGTCCAACGAATGACGGTACCGGTTTCTATCGCCGGTTTCTATTCTATTCTGATATCGATCGTAGAACTCGTCGTCGACGCGACCCGAGAGCAAGTTAAATTTGTAGAACGTCGTATACGACACACTTTTTAGGCCGTACAGCACTCGTACAATCATTAGCAGAAATGCGCGTTACGGTGTATGCCGCTCCGTTCTCTTCAACGCACTCGCAGAGGTGTTTCGCACGGAATTCACAAGGGCGTTCGCGAAAACGAAACAAAGTTTCGCGAGAGGAGTCGCAATAAGCGTCGGTCAATCGTTCAGTAAAGAGTCGCGCACTTGCAGAAAAAGAAATGTGCTTTGTAATGTTGAAAGAGAAACGCGGATTTTATATCTCGTTACCTGTCCCCCCTTCCACCCTTCTAAAAAATCTCAACACGTTACGTCCCAGAACCTCGTATACGTTATTCGCAATTAGCGAATATTGTAAATATCGATATGTACGGAATCGACTTTGCGCGAATTTTCGGCTGCGAATTGTCAACTGTCAAAACCTTGTGCCTGTAAAATCTCAGAGTCCAGAAAAGAAGACGGAATTAATACAAAGCAAAATTAACGAAAATTTAGAGACTGCTCCCCCCCTCTCCCCTCAATGCGGGCCAATTACGAGAATAAATATCGCAGTATCGTCAGTTGCGCAACATCGGTCGAAGCTGCGAGCTTCGACAAATTTGTTTCTCCCCTTTTTTTGTTTTATTTTATTTTCTATTTTATTTTATAATTCGAATGCCATCAATATAGATTTCCAAATGCTCTACCGGTACCTGTCGAATTAATTCAATCTGTTAGCGTCGGCAAGCCTGTCCTGTACCATCGCTTCGCGCGACCGTTAATTCGATCGTTTACCGATGCGTCACCGGTTCATTCCGCTTCTCCCGATTAATTATCGCAATCGCACGCGACACGCGAGTCGGTCGGCTGTAATTGCATCGATTA